TGTCGGATTGAAGCTCATGTGATCCTGGCAAGCTGGGCTCGCGCATTGAATCGACGGCACCCACAGATTCGATGAGCCCGTATCGAATAGTACATTAAAGGTCTGCGGTGGTGTTCCAATTGTTATAACGCCATAATACTCCATATTCATGTCGTTCACTAGCTGCTCCTTTGGCGCACTCGTCGTGCTCGTCGTTGAGTTCGCTGAGCTCCCACCATTTGCGGGTGCCGTGGAAATAGCTGACACTGCACTGTATTTGGTACGCACATACGCCACCTCGGCCCTAATGTTGCCTCGTGTCTTCACAAAATTCTTTTGCCTATAGATGGGTATACGATGCAGGTGGGCGCCGGCTTGCACCAGCACCAGGGCGTACAACAGGAGCATTAGCTTCAGCATGCTGTTCCAATTACTATTTTATTTGCTATACTAAAGTTGGAATGCCAGATACCACGCACTTTTATATGACCGGCGCTTGTTTGCTTATCGCACCGGGCAAATCAATCAAATCGCTGAAAATCTGTGACATAGATAAGATTGCCTATATCGTAAAAACTTAAAAGAGAAACTCGTTGATGGCATTTTAAGCGCCCCAACAAAGTCCCCCAAAAATGAACTAAGAGAGTTGGAGAGAAAGAGAGAGAGAGAGAGTGTCAAAACAAGTGACTCGCATAGATACCGCGTGCCTAGGCTATGAGTGGATATAAGAAGCTAGATACTATAAACTTCATTTATGAATATAGTCAGGCAAATTTATGATTGACTGAAGGCCAATCTGCTGCTTTTATAGCTAATAGGAGTAGGTAGACTGTCTATGTGACTGTATTTCGATTGAGTGATTGATTAGTTAAGTGATTGACCGATCCATTTATTGACGGACTGAATTACAGAGTAATTGAATTTGTGTTTAAGCAGTAAATGAGTAATTGATTGATGTTTGATCGATGATTGACCGGTGACTGATTAATGATTGATTGATGATTGATTGATGATTGATTGATGATTGATTGATGATTGATTGATTAACGATTGATTAACGATTGATTGATGATTGATTGATGATTGATTAACGATAGATTGATGATTGATTGATTATTGATTGACGATTGATTGATGATTGATTGATGATTGATTGATTATTGGTTGATCGTTGATTGATGATTGATGGATGATTGATTGTTGAGTGGTTGATGATTGATTGATGATTTATTGATTATTGGTTGATGGTTGATTGATGATTGATGGATGAGTGGTTGATGATCAATTGTTGATCGATTGATGATTTATTGATGATTGATTAGTGATTAATCAATGATTGATTGATGATTGATCGAGAATTGGTTAATGATTGATTGATAATAAATTGCAAATTGACTTATGATTGATTGTTTATTGATTGATGCTTGATTGAGCAGCCTAAAACTGACTGATTGATGGATTTAATTATTCATAAATGATCTTTAGACAGGATTGATTGACTGATTGAAAACTGTATTGTCTACATGATATTACTTTTTATCCGATTGAACAATAAACTGACTCATTGAATGGATGAAAAACTAAATTACTAATTGTTCATATAGATTTAAAAAATTTGATTTACATTTACATACACAAGTGTAGCTCTAATACACCCTTCATCTGGGCCGCTCACAATACAGGGTATCTTTCATATCTAGTAGCAAAGCAATTAGACAACGGCACTGCAAACGGTCAATTCAAACTGTGTTTGTCATCATTGATGACGTGGCACTAGAGGCACAAGACACTGCAGGGAGAGCTTACTCAGAAGTCTTCATAAAACTGAAAACGTTACAAAAGTTACCAAGGGGAAATCATTTGGCACGGAAGCCAAAAAAGTTTTTTGCAGTTTTATGTTAAATGCTCAATAAATAATTTATTTCCGATCACAAATATCATATAGCAATGCAAAATTTGATAAGGATGAATCGCATTCGATTTGGTTAGCGAAAAGGCTGAGTCGGAAGGCTATAATAAAAAATTAGATAGCATTAGGCCTACAAAATTAGAGACCAAAGCCAACATTAAAAGATAGCTGGGTAGGAAAACTCGTATAGATCAACTTATATTTTCATAGATAGAAAATTATCTATAAAAAAAATAAACCTGCTTGATTCACGAACAGCAAAACGAAATACAGATTAAAGCAACATTTTTTTGGTTTTTTTTTTTTATAAATTAAACGAAAAAAAAAAATAGAAACAAAAATTGATATTACAAAATATTATAGATACACGTTAGTCCAGACTAACTGAATATAATGCTCTATGATATCACTTTATTTGCTTTCACGGAAGGTTCGTTTACTGTTTAAGCGACTGGGGCGAAGCCAATGCGGTTGTTGCCCAAATCGAACTCGGTGTAGTACTGTCCAATGAAGACATCGCCCAAGATCCAGAAGTCGGTGCCCATGTACTGGAAGCTCGACATGCACTGGCCGTCGGTCTGGATGATGTAGGCCGAGGGGCTCAGGTCGAAGTTAGTGCCGCCAATGTTGAAGGTGATCACGGGCAATGAGCTGACGGTGGAGCAATCGACAAGACCCTCATCATTGACATTGAGGACAGCATTCAGCAGCTCGTAGGCGTTGGCTGGAGCCACCAGCAGAGAGGTACCGGTATCGGCAATAGCCTGGCAGTCGTCGCACAATGAGTAGCCCTCAACGGAGGCACTGTCCATGGTGAATTGCCAATAGCCCTCCTGGGAGATGGGCACATAGGTGAAGTCGCCGCTGTACAGAGAGGAGTCGGAGCCGCCGAAGATCAGCTCACCGCCCTGGCTGGAGGTGCCATCGCGAGCCAGATAGAACGAGAACACAGACTGATCAACCAGACCCTGGGAGACCATGTTGTAGAAGGGTGGCACAACATTGTCCTGAGCAATGGACTGATAGCCCATGCCCAAAATACCATCGAAGTTGGCATTGTTGAAGTTGGTGCCTGGCTCATTGGTGGCCTCGGCAAAGGTCTGCTTCTTGATGGACAGTCCATTCACATCGACAGTATCGATGGACAGGAAACCGGAGAGGCTGCCGGAGCCGTATTGGATGGAGAAGGTTTCGCCATTCGACTCGTAGGTGGAGGAGGCGCTGGAGTCATACTGGTTGTGCACCTCGCAGGCATAGCTGGGGCAGTTCTTGGATGGCACCCACAGATTGGAGGAGCCCGAATCGAACAGTACCTTGAAACTCTGTGGGGGAGTGCCGATGGTGATGGCACCATAGTAGGCCATGTTCAACGAGTTGGAGAGCTCCTCCTCGACAGCGCGACCCACTGGCAGGCCATACTTGGCACGCAGATGGGAGAGCTCAGCCTTGATGTTGCCACGTGTCTTCACGAAGTTCTCCTGCTTGAGAACGGGCACGCGGTGGAGCTCGGCGCTGGCCACGGCCAGGACCACAGCAAGGACTGTGATGGATTTCAGCATATTTTCAATTGGTGTCTACTAAATTTCGACTAATTCTAGACGGGTGCTTAGTCGGGTATTTATAGCAAAACGAATTTACTATCTATCCCACGATAAGATTGTTAATATCTTTAAGCTGACGAATTGCAAATACCAGCAAACAACAAAATTTAATAAAATCGATTGCCTTCACTATCTACCAGATTGCTCACTCAACAAATGACACTCGATAGCTTCTGCGGCTCTCTGTATCACAAAATATATATTTGTTCTAAGAGGGCATTAGTTAAAGGTCTCGGCATTATCGCAGGGTCTTTCTAGCACTCGAATGATGGAAACTCCGCGGCACTTGAGCCTACACACGTCCATGGACTACCACCAATCGTTCTAGTATAACTTGTCAAACTCTTCATTTAGTTTTCGCAGACAGTCTAATCTGATTTCTCACATAAATGATAGTCTATTCTGATTTAACGTGCCAAAAATTATATTATTGATTTGTATGTGTAAGAAAATATGTAGTTAGTTACATTTAAAACTATATAGAAATTTACCCATTATTAAAATTTGCTTACATAATAAACAAAAAATAATTTCTATACTTTTTCTTGTCTAAAATAAAGATCAAAATTATAGATCAAAATTATAGAATGATTTTATACAATAATTTTTCTGCATGGAAATATTTGAGTGAACAAAACACTCATGAAAGAGAGAGAGACATAACCTGAAAATAAATACTTATATAATAGTTGGACTGAAGAATTCATTGTCTAAATTAAATTTTTTTTTTTTGCATAGCCCTCAAAGCCCTTTTCTTTTCTCTTAAGATTAGCAAACTATTGATTTTTCTGATACAATGCTCAAATAATGTTTATCAAGACAGAAATTGCTGCAGAGCTAGGAAGGATAAAAAAAAATTATGGCCTACAAGCTTGCATCTTAGCGCTCCCCCATTACTCCACTACAATTCTCCACGTATATTGAAATTAAATAACTCGTAATGGGGAGCTCTACCAAGAAGTGTTGAGTTCCATTTGAATTCAGATCTTTTTCGAAAAATTCAAATTCAATTCAGTAAATGAACGCCCCAAAAGTTATGTGAGGTATTTTTTTTAATACTCTGTTATGGAGAAACATTTATAGTAAAGTTTAATGGAAATTTTTTTACTCAATTGAAATCATTTTAATGTATATACCATTTTACAAGTGTAAGCTCTTCTAATTAATAGATTCATATATTATAAATATAAAATAATAAAAATAAAAAATTTTACATAGACCAAAAATGGCTTTTTATAAGCAACTTCTTCCATGAACTGTTCACAAACATTCCCAGACTTACTACAAATGAGGGCTCTCCTTTTCTTTAACCCCATTCAGAACACTCTAATCTTACAAAATATACGACGCAGTATATGATAGAAATATAAACAGAAATTCAAGTTGTTTTCAATCACGTCTAATATAATTTTGCAATATTAATAACACATATTTACAGACAATATAATTTCTTCCATTAGTTTTTTCTATTTACTAAATCAAGTCAAAAAAAAAAAAGTGTACACATTTAAAAATGTTTTTTTTTGCATTTCGGGATTCGTTTATTTCAATTCTTAGGCAACTGGGGCGAAACCAATGCGGTTGTTGCCCAAATCGAACTCGGTGTAGTACTTGCCAATGAAGACATCGCCCAAGATCCAGAAGTCGGTGCCCATGTACTCGAAGCCGGACTGGCACTCGCCATCGGACTGGATGATATATTGAGCTGGCTCCAGGGTGAACTTGGTGCCACCAATGTTGAGGTTGAGCACGGGCATTGAATCGACAGCGGCGCAATCGACAAGACCATCCTCATCAACGTTGAGCAGATTGTTCAGGATATCGTAGGCATCGCCAGACACAACCAGGAGAGAGGTGCCGGTGTCAGCAATAGCCTGGCAGTTTTCGCACAAGGTCTGGCCATCAATGGAAACGCTGTCCACAGCGAACTGCCAGTAGCCCTGCTGGGAGATGGGCACGTAGGTCAGTTCACCGGTGTACAGAGAGGAGTCGGAGCCACCAAAGATCAGCTCACCGCCCTCGTTGGAGGTGCCATCGCGAGCCAGATAGAACGAGAACACAGACTGATCAACCAGACCCTGGGAGACCATGTTGTAGAAGGGTGGCACAACATTGTCCACGGCAAGGGATTGGTAGGCCATGCCCAAAATACCATCGAATTTGGCGTTGGTGAAGCTGTTGCCTGGCTCAGAGGTGGCCTCGGCAAAGGTCTGCTTCTTGATCACCAGGCCATTGACGTCGACAGTATCGGTGGACAGGAAGCCGGAGAGGCTGCCGGAGCCGTACTGGATGGAGAAGCTCTCGCCGTTCGCTTCGTAGGTGGAGGACTTGTCGTGATCGTACTGGTTGTGATTCATGCAGGCCACATCGAAGAACCAGCAAGTGCTCGATGGCACCCACAGGTTGGAGGAGCCCGAATCGAACAGAACCTTGAAGCTCTGTGGGGGCGTACCGATGCTGATGGCGCCATAGTAGGCCATGTTGATCGAGTTGGAGAGCTCCTCCTCGTTCAGGCGAGCATTGGGCACATTGTATTTGGCGCGCAGGTAGGCCTTCTCGGCCTTGACATTCTCACGGGTCTTCACGAAGTTCTCGTGCTTGAGAATGGGCACGCGATGGAGCTCGGCGCTGGCCACGGCCAGGACCACAGCAAGGACTATGATTGATTTCAGCATATTTTCAATTGGTGTCTACTAAATTTCGACTAATTTGAGAGAGCTACTTAGGCTGATATTTATACTAAAATCGGTTATCAATATTGGCCTAGGCACTGTACAATCAAATCACACCACAGATCTGTCTATGATACTGTCTCAACAATTTCGATTGACTACTTATCACAGTTTGCTTGAGCTGATATCCCTCAATTGTATTATATATATACATACCTGATTACATATATATGTATTATATATATTGTACATTTTCAATTGCCTTTCTATTAAGCGTCATTGCATAAATCTAACCCAACTCTCGGGAAACTCAAGAACCCTCCAGTACAATTGGTACTCCAAAGCCGATTCTGATAACCCTAGTGATATTTATGTCTGACTTGTCTATAGATTATAGCATTCCTGTTCTATTATTACGCATTATTGTTTATTAGTTTGATTTTCAATTGTTTATGTTTTTCCCAGATTACTTAACTTAGCTAAGTCAAGTTACTTTGAAGTAATCTATAGATCTTTAGTTATAGAAAATCCTTTATTTAGTGGAAGTTACTTTGAAATTATCAAGAACGCTTTCCAGTTTCATCATTTGACTCATTTGTGTTACGCGTTTGCATTAGATTTCCTATCAAGTCAATATAAATTAGTCATATTACAATTATTAGTTGGTGTCTCATAGCCACAGGAAATATGGATATTAAAGTTAATGCACCTCTATTTCTTTGATTATTTGTGTAGAAATTTATTAAATAATTTAGTTAATATACATATTTATTTATTGTATAAATAAATTAGTAACTTATTAGAGTTGAGTGACATAAATAGTTCGATGTAAATGTATGTATATATATAGCCTAAAAAATAAACAACCTTACTCCAATTTTTCTCTCTTCCATTGTTTCGTTCTCTCTTTCTCTAGCCTCTCTCACTCTCTCTGTTTCATTCAAAATATCTTCCTCTCTCTGTATCTCTCTTTCCTTTTCTTTTTTTCCTTGCCTACCTCTCTTTCCTTATTTCTCCTTCTTTTCGTACAATCTTTCTCTATCCTATCCTTTCTTTCTCTATCTTTGTCTCTTTTATTACTCACACTATCTGTTTCACACTGCTCTTTCTCCCTTTCTCCATCTGCCCTTTCTCCATCTTGATTTCCTTCTCACTCTCTCACTCCTTTTTTGCTCTTTCTTTCTTTCTCTTCCTCTTCTCATTCGATGTTCATTGCATACATTTTATCTATTCTAGTCTTCCTCCAGTCTCTTCGGTCGGCATTTCAAAAAGTCTTGGCTTAGTTCAATACCTCAACAAGTGTAAGATTAATTTAGTAAGTGCGTCTATCAGACACACTGTAAGTGTTTGCTTGATTCAATTCCTTTAACTTTTTTCGTGCTAGCACAATTCATGGAATTCATTAACAAATTGTTTACCCAAAGCTTTGCTAACCTACTTTAGCACATTTGGTGACCGCCTCGTGCCTCCATGCCTTATCTCGAATTGTAAAAGTTAACACTATTATCTTCTTCTTCATGAAATGAATTAATGTGATTTTTTTTATCGGTAGTTGACAATTTGTGTAAATGACAAATCATTGTTTTGATGGCTTACAAAGTGCAATTACTGATTACAAAATCCAAGGTATCAGTGGATATTTTTGCTAGGGACGCAAAACTAAAAACAAACGTTTACATTATCAGCACTATCAAAAAAAAGTTGAGCATTTATTTTTATCAAATTATGCTATATATTTTATATGATTTCCTAGAGTTATAGAAGAGCAAAAAACTTAAATTTAATCGATTAAATCACTAAATCGATTCATCGCAAATTCACACAAAACTTTATATAAACAGTTAATCCGAAATATCATTCATATGATGAAAAAAAAAAAACATAAATATCTCAACATCCAATGTGTTATCGATAACTTAAGCAAGTGCTCTCATATGGTTATCGAAAATAGTAGCACGCTTGCTTGGTCATTTGCCCTATTTAAAGAAAAACAATCTATGGGGAGCTTAACCAATATCAGTTACCTAACCTACGTGCCTAAACTTTGCTCGTATGGCCAACTAATCATAGTCTGAACTCAGATCTTGCCTGATATACGAGATGTTTTTCATTCTTATTAAAGTTAGAAAAGTTTATCGGCCCATGACACGTTTCTTTCGTAGCCAAACCAAAAAAAAAATGCTATTTATACAAAATACGCACTTGAGAGATATGGTGCTATCTATCAAGGGAGAGATATAAAATATGGGCGCATGGCACAAGGCGATTCAAATTCGAACAGATAAACAAATAAATAAAGGCCGAAAAAGTGCAGGTCGGGTATACACAATTGCGTAATACACGTTCGATTTAATTTCAATTTATTGAAAGCATTTTATGTTAGTTTTGAATAGTTATTGAGCCAAGATCATAAACATATTCTCTGATAAGAGTAAGATATATAAGTTTATCAAGAGAAAGCTAGAGCAACCGCAAGCCAATATACTCTACTTGTAGAAAGCCGTTGAAAATATATTCCCAGAATAACGATTATAATAATCACTATTTATTTTAATTTCTATATAAGAAAAACTTGAAGTGCGATTCGATGAGGGGATCGCATCACAGTATCATATGACTTCTACATAATTGTAATTAAGATAAAGCACTCCAACTTAAGAAAGCAATTGAGATTATTTAAAGTGCAAATGCTCGAATAGAAGATATCCTAACTGTAGTTTAAAGTTTACAATCAACAGCAAAGGTAAAGCACATGAAGAGTAATAATGAGAGTCGAACTCTAAACAATTAGAATGCTAATAACTTTCATAGTTTTTTGATAATTGTTATCGATTTTGATCGATATGCGGCTTGTAATATGACAAGTAAACAAATATTTGAATTTTTCTAAAATAAACTAATAATGTATAATACATATATATATAACGAATCTTAAGACTTTGACTTTTACATTTTATATATTTTACGTTCAAAATAGGATGGACAATATACCCCCTATGTCTAAATATTTAAAATCTAGTTTAATTCAGTTTAAATTTGATTTAAACTTAATAATTTGATCAAATAGCTAATGCACAAAAATATATACAGCTGCGAAAAATAAAATAGCACCACTTGCATATTCAGAGTTTGAGG